CTTAGCAAACTGTAACTGTGGAAATGGTGATACCTCTGACCCTGCGATGACCTTTCAGAAACTGCAGTCACGAAGCAAATCTGTTTTTGTGTGGAGACGCAATTCAAACCTAATAATGCATAACTCAGATTAACATCTGCATCCAGCTTCACCTCCAAAAGGATAATAAGAAAAAGCTCTTCATATTTCTCTAATTCACTTTTCTGATTACAAACTTCCACCCTCCGTTTTGAACGAGATATTAACCATCTGTTTGTTTTTCAGGTTTCAAGCATCAATCTGCCGTCTAACTCTTTCTGCACATTCATTCCACCTCAATTACTTTTTATTAATGTACCGTTCTTCAAAGCCATCCACATTGATTTCCAATTATACTAACAAAATCCGTGAATTTTCTACTAGCATTTTTCAGTTCTGTTCGCAATATCTCATCAAGCTGATACTGTTGATTAGATTTATCATCAAGATGTTTCACAAGGTCAAAAGAGAGGGTTGGATGAAGGCTCCCCTTTAGCCCATTTGATCTCATTTTTCTAGAACACACATAGCCATCTGACAGTTCCAACATCAAACTATTTCTTCAAAGAATCCAGTGTCCAGTCCTCTACTACCCTTCCCGCTACAACTCCACATGTTAATTACCCTTTGTATAAAGAAATCTGAACCTGTATCCTCTTGTCCTGCTGCCTTGGCATATTTTAAACTACAGTTGCGGGATGATATTTTTAAACCCGTTTAGCATTGTATATGGCTTCTAACTAGCAGAATTAGGAGCAACTTTTACAAGTACATTTCCCAGAGTGGACCTGAGGTCCCGGAGTGTAGAGGCTGAAGGCACGCCACTGATGGTGGATAAGAGGGGACGAGGGGCAAGCAGGAGGCCGGAGCCAAGCGGAGGCAACGGGTAAGGGAGTTGGATGGTAAGTAAATCGGATAGGTAGGGAGTTGCGAGGGCATGAAGGGATTTGAAAATGAATGAGAGTATCTTGAAATCGGTGTGATGGGAGTATGGAGTTTTGCGCAGGTAAGTATCCGGGTGGTGGAGTTTTGAGTTGAATTTTGTGTATGGCGGAGGCATGTAAAACACCTTTACATTGTTTGTTAATACTGTATTATTAAAGAACTGCTTGCGTGATCATATCTTTAATAATATTAAAATATGAACCTCCCACTAATACTCATCATTAAATATTAAGTATGTGTAATACAGTACAGATTTGGCCATAAGATAATAATAATCATTGTATTTGATATAGCGCTTTTCACATCTTGTAGAAGTCTTAAAGCGCTTCACAGAATATACTGTAAAGTGAATTGACTGTATATTTGTGGGCGTAAACGCGGCAGCCAATTGCGCACAGCAGTGTCCTACAAACAGTCGTGGATTGAAGTGACCAATTTATTATTGTTTTTTTCTCTTGAGGGATTATTATCAGGCGTGTGGAGTAAGGAAACTTGCCCAAGGTTTCGCCCTGCGGGAATCGAATACAGGTCTCTCGCTTGCCAGGCGAGTGCTCTAACCACTGAGCTACAGGACTCCATGTTCTTTCGTGGGTTCCATTTTCATCACGAAGACTTCACGAGGTACTAGGTCATAAGCCCTGCAGAAGTCAATGTACACAATTTAGGTGGGTTTCCCGTCAGTCTTACAATGTTCTGCGATCTCATACAGAGTCACAAGCTATCCCACACATTCCTCACAAGAACAGAAGCCAGACTGCTCCTTCCTGATCAAACCACGAGCCTCCAATGTGTGTGAAATCTGCGCCACCTTAAGAACCACTGAAATCAGTGAGAATCTTGTTAGCCAATGTAGAGCAAAACCTGTTGTTAAGCAACATCTCGATCTCAGCTCACATAACATTGACAACAATACCTGTAAAAGCCCAGTCTTTCTTAATTCTTAATAAAATACTGTTAAACTTGTTGTGAAAGGCACAAGTCGGGACTTTGAGCTCATAGATTAGGTGAGCTAAAGTGAATTTACGTGAATTACCAATTTTATTTGGGTATTGTTTGCCTGGACACTGGCAGAAATTCTTCTCATTTCAAATAGTTAACATCCATCTGAACAGGCGGAAGGAGCCCCAGTTTATGTGTCAGCATTAGTGAAGATCACAAAACAAGCTGGTGTACAGGATGCTCCCTCTTCTCTTTATAGTATAAACTATAAGCTATTTTGGAGATAAATACCAAATCATTTTACCAAGAACTTGAGAAAGAATCCACTATTTTTACTGCGGTGACATCCAGCTCTAGTGGCTGGAACAGCATTTCTTCCTTTTTTTGTGATTTAATGTTTTTAAGAAACTTGTGGATCTAGTTTATATTTGCTTGATTTGGTTCTTTTGGGAAATCTTGGATTGTGTGTTGGATATTATATATTGCCTTAAGTGATTTTTTAAAAAATCAATAAAGAGTCACATTCTCTCCCAGACATGGGGCAATTTCTATGTGTAAGTGGCAACATGTGTGTAACTCTTATTCTGCTTTCAATCTTGACATGGTGATGCGTTTCCACACATTTACCTAAACATACAAAGTCACTGAACTTTACATTAAAATAGCACTATGTCAAATGTAAGTATTATTAATTTGGGTCAGACACCTGGCTGACACACAAAAAATCAACTAGAGGAAAATCAGAGATTTTACATTTCAGAGTTTTTAAATTAATAAAAATCAGAAAGATGAATTGATAAAATAAATATACTGTTGGGAACAAAGAAACGGCCAGGATAGAATTAATCATTCTGTCTGAGCCTTGGGAGGTCCTTCCATTGTGAAAGGCACTATATAAATGTAGTTTGTTACTTTTATTTTGTTGAGCCTGTCATATAGTTGCAGTCAGAATAGAACCACCTATCCTGTCTGGCCAAAGTATGGAGGTGGGAACCCGAGAAGAGAGAAACCAAAATGATTGTCTTCTATGCTTAACAGCTCATTTATTACTGAGTCAAATATATAGTTTTACATGAATACAATAGGCAATAGACAGTATTTTGCTTCACTCAGAGTATGTCACCTTGAGAGAGCTGGTAGTGGACATTGAATTCCATTGTAGTTTGAGAGTGTCAATTGTGAGTTTTGAATTCTTCAATTCAATCTATAGAATCCGTAGAGTGTGGAGGTGGGTGTGACTTCTCTTCTTGCTTGAACCTATGAAACTCAGGTGGGAGGTGTGCTGGCCTTCGTGAAGGAATGAATGATGTATGCCACAGTGTCACTCATGGATCTTCCTTTTATATCCTAGTTATTTACTCCATTATCCACACCTGTTCATCCTTCATTCAGCAAGAACATCTTTAATCACGTTCTCACAGTCAGCTTTGATTTACTACCTTCTCATGGCATCTTTCATCACGTTTCCACAAATAACCTTGTCTGGTTACATTCACCATCAGCTCCACCTGACATCAGATTACATTTCACAACAATACGTTACCTGACATTACTTGTACAGCATCTAATTAGTGATGTGTTTATAATATCATTTGTCTTATTTATTTCCATTGGGCTGCACAAATTCTATAAATGTAGTGTACTTGTGGATTTTGAAAAGGAATTGGTTGTTGTGAAGGGTTAATAATATTTCAAAAGATTTACTATAATGAGGTAGCCTCATGAATTTTAATTCCATTAGCTGCCAACATATTTAAATTCCTGGACGCAAAGAGTTGAGTGCAAGGCAATGGCTTTGTCTGAGAGAGAGGTCCATGGATATGAAAATCAACTTGAAACATTTGATCGCTAGTTTCTGATGGAGAATGTTAAGATCAAAATGTTCTTGTGTTTCTGAAATAAACATGGGGTCTAGATGAAGTACAAGTCACTGTTGCAATGTTCACAGACTTGTGGATGATTTTTCTCACAAAACCCACTTTACAGCATATACTGTGAAGCACTTTGAGTCATCTCAACAGTGTGATAAGGCGCTATATCAAATGCAAGGATTATTACTATTATTATTAATATGATTATGATGATGGTCATGATGATGGTTATTATGCTTATTATGATTGTGATCATGAATATGTATGTGAATATGTATATGATTATTATCATTATTATTATTATTGAGAACCCAACCTCAATGTTTGAGTGTTATAGAGCATCCAGTGATTCCCGGAATAGTATATGTTGTTTGCAATGACAATAATGATCCCTACATTTGATATTGTATCGACAACATCAAAGCATTTCAAAGCACTTCACAGGTAATTGCTGCTGAGGGTAATGACAGCAGCCAATTTGTGTAAACATCCATGAAGTGATTACTTATTATCTGGAGAATTGTTGGCCATGACATTGGAAGAAACTCATTTCTTCAAATGGTATTATGGCATTTTTAACATCTACCTGCAGAAGTCCTGTAGTGTAGCGATTAAAGCACACGTCTTGCAAGCAAGAGGACCTGGGTTTGATTCACAGGCAGAGCGTAACCATAGGCACGTTTCCTTACTCCACACGTCTTTGTTTACCTAGCAGTAAGTAGGAACCCGCTTGTTAGTTGATTGGCAGAACACTTTTAAAAATAATAAATCCCTCCAAAACAAAATGTTGATCCACGACTGTTTGAGAAACACTGCTGAGCGCAATTGGCTGCCATGTTTGGTCCACAAAATACACTGTCAATTCACTTTACAATATACTCTGTGAAGAGGGTTGAGACATCTCATTGACGTAATAAGGAAACTATTATTATTTTTATCATTATCACCCGAAGAAGCAGACAGGACTTTGGTTTATCATTTCATCTGAAGAGTGGCACCTCCAACAATGCATAGCTCTGCCAGTACTGCACTTGAGTGTCAGTCTAAACTCTAGACTATGAACTCAATGTCCTGGTGCGGTGCTCAAACCACAACCTTCTGATGATGAGGTGAGAGTGCTTCCGATTGAACCAAGCTGACCATGACAAGAGGCCAGGATTCAATAGTGCAGATGGGTGAATATTATGGGGATTTTACTTTATTAATTTTAAGGATCAAAGAGTATACATGGACAGCTTTTACCCAGGTGACAAAGTGGGTGAGGTGAATGCACATACAGGTAGATGTTAAATTCTGAATAGACATTTTTCATTCCATATTTTGTCTCCAGCTCCTCCATTAGTATGAAACTTCAAGATATTTTACGTTGGATCAAATGAAAAATCATTCATTCCGATCAATTATTACATTGCATTTGACAGGCCAAGGGCTAGCATTCATTCCCACAAAACACAGTCACTTCACTTTACAGCATATCCTGTGAAGCTCTTTGATATGTCCTCCTGATGTGAAAGTCACTATACCAAATGTAAGGATAATAATAATAATGTTACCTCAGAGTCAATAGGCTGAATGGTGCTTTCCCATCACGGTATCAACTTAGAAGCTTGCCACAATAAATCAGGTTACATTTTAAGAGAAATTAAATCTGACTTGATAACATTATAAAGTGTTTCACATTTTTTAGATAAATGATTCGACTAAATTAATTGTACGCAGCTTTTTGTTGCACGAACATCCAATGGAAAATAATAATACTAATCCTTGCATTTCATGTAATGTCTTATCACGTCTTCGAGACGTCTGAAATCACTCCACAAAATATACTGTACTTTGTGGGTGAAATGCAGCAGCCAATTGGAACAGCAGTGTATCACAAACAGTTGTGGAACAAGTGACCAAATTATTATTATTATTCTTTTTGAAGGGATTATTAACTTAGAAAACCATCCACCAATCGACTAACAATCAGGTTCCTACTTTCTGCTAGGTAAACAGAGGCGTGTGGAGTAAGGAAACTTGCCTAAAGTCTCGCCCTGCCAGGGAATCGAACCCGGGTCCTCTAACTTGAGAGGCGAGCGCTCTAACCAATACGTTACAGGACTCCTTTAATGTAATTTAATGCACACACATTGAGGCTGGGGTAGGATGTATGGGATTTATTAAGGAATGTTTCAGTGGTATCAAGATGGTTTAGGATTCTACCAACTTCGTCTGTCGAGGCGATCCCTGGCCTGTGACTATCTGTTTTGTAGCAGAAGAATCCTGAGCAGATTATCCCAGATGTTGAATCCTGAGCAGATTACCCCACTTAAAGGTCCACCATAGCTCGAGGAGTGTGTGAGGCTGCATAGACAGTTAGATGAAAGCAGTCTATATATCTCAGAACTTAATTTACCAAGTTTAAGATTCAATCCATGTACAATCCTGTTCGACTGTCAAATATTCTACAACTGTTGTAACCATATATTTGAGGCAAGTGGCTCTATACATCTCTGTGGGAAACACCTTCTTACTGCAAAGAGGGATAATTGCACAAGTTACCTTCAGTGGAGGAGATTATATGGGGAGATTTTAGGTAAATGAAGAGGATGTTTTATTCAACTAAATTAATTTTATGCAGCTTTTTGTTGCTCCCACATCCAATGGAAAATAATAATAATAATCCTTGCCGTGGAATAATTTGGGTGTGACCCACTTATTAAACCTAGGGATCATCCAATTCCTGTAACCCAGTCATTGCTGTAATTTGCTAGTATGAAATCCCAAAAGGACATTAACCACCAATGTAAAATGTAAATTTTTTTTAAGTCCAAGTAGAGTATATATATATATAGCAACTGGATTTTCTTATTCACCATATCAATTCTGTCCTCAGAAACCTCCCGCAGAATCCAACAGACTTCTTAATCAATAGCAACAACTTTTATATAGCACCCTTCGTGCAGGATACAGTCTCAGAATACTGAAATTCCTATCTGCTTTCTTCGAAAGTACCCTGTATATGTGAAACAATTACCACTTTGTTCACTCTAATTTAAAGCAATCTCCTGGATCCATATCATTTTCAGTCATCAGTTTACCTAAGAGACAAGCACATTTCCCAGCACTCTCAATCTGAAGTGAGCTTGTTTATTTTATCTTAATAAGTTTCAGGTTCTGCATTCACTCTGCCTGATGGTATTTTATTCCACAATATTACGGCAATGAGTGAGTCAATAGAATTACAGGTGTTCTTTTAGAAACCTTGCAAGTGGGTCACACCCAAACTATTCTACAGAACTAATCTTTATTCATTCACAAAAGCCTTCCATCAACAAGCAACACAAAGTCAATGGACAATTGATTTCCTTTCAACTCTGGAAAACAGATTAATCAATCTTAATATCTTCTGTAATTGGTTCTCCATTACAGCACTATAGAAATAAAATATATATTATAGTTCCAATTACATTGCATACTTTTAGGTAACACGGCTTCAGTTTTGAGAGCATTCAAGACATTATCCATTACTTATAATTTACCAATCTTATTGAAACTGCCTGTGCGCTTTACTGGTCTCCCTAGCTTCACCACCCATAATCTCCAATTTGACCTAAATTTCACCATTTGCATTTCACCCTCACCAAACTCCTCACGCTTTGGTCACTGCCAGGCTACACTGGCTCCCTGCTTCTCAGCAGAACAAATTAAAGGTACTCACCTATAAATCCCTTCGTGGGCGAGAAATTCCCTAACTCCCTGACTTTCTCTTACCCCAACTCCACCACTTTCCACTTCCATTCAGTTAACTTGTACTTGTTGTATGTTCCCCACCCGCCATCCATGGCCACCCCTTCAGATTCTATGACCCTATAAGCTCTGGAAGTCCCTCTACCCCTCCATCTCACCACTTTGCTATGTCTTCAAGTCCTGCCTAAACACCTGCCTCGTATTATTCAGCATTATTCTATTTGAAGGGGGTTAAAGAAAGGTATGTTGTTGTTGGTGTACTGTAGAATGTTATTAATAGTTACAGTTATCTACGGTTTTCTTCCTTAATACAGTTTTTTACGCTGTAGTAAATTCTTATTTCCCATTAGGGGAAATATGTTTTGAATATCTTCTCAATATAATTTGTATTTTTTTAAGAATGAACATTAATATTAGTTTACAACCATTAATGTTTTAGTTGGTTAGACTCCAACAGTACTCAATGCACACTCTGGGGTTTCCAAGCCTTGACTCTTCCCAACCTGAGGCAGTGCACATTCCATTTCAATACAATACAAAACTACATTTGTATTTCGCCTTTCACGTTGGGACGATGTCCAAAGGAGCTGGATAGTCAGGGATTTGGAACCGAGCAGTGTGAGAGGTCGGATCTGAACCACTCAGGGACAGAATAAACATCTCTGGAATTTTCATGTGTAGGTGGATAATCAAGCATTATTCCAATGAATAATTATTAAATGCTTTGAAAATTGTTTTGTTGCAAATGTAATAATAATAATCCTTGAATTTAATATAGCACCTTTTCATGTCTTTGAGACATTTCAAAGCGCTTTACAGAATATACTGTAAAGTGAATTGACTGTATGTTTTGTGGGTGAAATGCATTTTAATTAATTTTTTTGAAAGGATTATTACCCCCAGAAAAGCAATCCACCCATCGAATGACCAGGTTCCTACTTATTGCTGGATAAACAGAGGCATATGGAGCAAGATTACTTGCCTAACATTTCAGCATGCCTGAGAATGGAATCCAGGTCCTCTCACTTGTCAGCCAAGTGCTCTAACCAATAGCTACAGGAGTCCTGTAGCAAGTGAGAGACCTGAGATCAATTCCAGGCACGGCAAAACCTTGGACAAGTTTCCTTACTCCACACGCCTAATAATAATCCCTCCAAAACCAAAACAATAATAAATTGGTCATTTTCAATCTATGACTGTTTGTGGGACATTGCTGTGCGCAATTGGCTGCCGCGTTCGCCCACAAATATACAGTCAATTCACTTTACAGTGTGTTCTGTGAAGCGCTTTGGGACGTCCTCCCGACGTGTAAAGCGCTATATCAAATGCAAGGATTATTATTACAGGATAGGGGTGGGATACATAAAACCAATTGTGGGTGAAAAACTGTGCCTGAGTGCAGGGATCACTCAAGCACAAAATAAAATCTCTGGAATTTCCATGAGGAAGTGGACACTCAAGGAACGTGATGGGTCTCTGCATGTACACCCAGCTACACCCAGCTGGTGCCGTGTGACATCTTTCAGGGCGCTTTAGATGTGTTATTTGTTGTTGTTGTTGTTGTAGCACTTACAATGAGATATTCCCCCTAGTTCATGTTGCATCTAGTGAAAGTTGATCCACACATAAGGGAAAAGGGAATTGTGTGTGTGACACATGCAGAAAATCATCACTATGCTTAAAAGTATCCAACCCAAACAGGAACTGGATTAACAAAACCACCACCGAGAGTTAACTTACTCCAGGACTGTAATTTGGATTTCTGTTAAGCTATACACAGCAAGCAGAGCTCAAAGTGTCAGCAAATAATATGTGTACTTTTAATAAAAAAATCCTTTATTTGATATAGCGATTCAGCACGTCATCAAGACATCTCAAATCACTTCAAAGGATATACTGTAAAATGTGTTGACAGTGTATTTTGTTAGCGAAACTCGAAACTTTCTGTGCTAGATAAGAAAAAGAGCCAAACTTTCCCATTTAGGCTCCACCTATAAATCTCACGATGAAAGAAAATGCAATCTTGATTTATTGCGACAGAAAGACAATCCAGGCAGAATACACATAAAAGAGTTCAGCACCTGCCTTTTTCACCGCATCCTTCTAAACCAACTCCTTGATACTGACTGGGTTACCTTCCTCCGAAGAAAGCAGAGGTTTAAATATGAAGAGCATAAGAGCTGCAAATGCAGACACAAGTGAGTACTTGTTATTAAATAACCCCTGATCACTATATTTTTTACTGCCTTCTATCTAGCCTCAGGTATGTGAACAGTCAGAGTGACAATTTTGTGCAGTTCTGGAGTTCTGCATCTGCAAGCAACAGTATTTTGCCACAACGGCCCCTTGCCAGAACAGCTTTTATGCGATTCTGCTGCTGTTATTTGGCAAGGGGACACAATGCACAAAATAAAAAAGCCTCATCAACATTGAGTCACATTCTGACTCCATTCTAAATTTAAATCATCGAATCAGATCTTTGATATGCAGGGATAATTGGGGGTTCGACTCCATTGAGATTATGCCTGATCCGGAACAAAACAAATA